TCCATATGTCTAGGCGAGAGATGACCACGTAAATGTGTTCGCGGCCAGCGACGAAGAAGAGGAATTCAACATTCATGAACAAAGGAGCAAGCAAATCGCGTCGCAGGCAGCTGAATCGCGACAGATTCAGTGAGCAGTGGAAGCTTTGATCGACTGGATTCGCACCGCAGGTTGTGCGGTTCGGCGAGACGGAGGAGGAACAGTCCGCGAGCAAGGGCCGAAAATTTGCGACAGGGCTTCCAACAAAGGATTTCAGAGCAAGAGTTCGGTCTTGCGAGCAGCTCGGTCAGAGGGAAGATGCGGAGATCGCGCAGAGAAGGGTTCGGGGAGTTCCCTGTTCGGGAGTTCGCGAAGCAGGAGGACCTGAGCAGTTTGACAAGGCGCGACAGCGCTGGAGAGGCAGTTATTTTCGTACAAGAGACAGAGGAGAAATTCTTGATTTGTTCCGCTGGACGCAGAGGAGTGCCTGCGGGAAGGAGGCGCGAGCACATAACAGGAAGTTTTCTCCGGTGAACAGATGTGATCTCTGTAAGAAGGTATGAAAGCTCTCCGTTCGGTTGGCGAAGGCAGTGGAGTTCACGGGGAGAAGACTAGTTCTTGGAAGGGCAGCATGTAGAATTCATTGGAAGAAATCCTAGCCACGACAACGAGTTCCGCCAAATTCGACATTGAGAAATTTAACGGGAAGAACGACTTCGGCCTATGGAGAGTAAAGATGAGAGCTCTATTGGTTCAGTAGGGTGTTGCAGAAGCCTTGCAAGGGTCGGCGGCATTACCGGCCGACATGACCGAGAAGGAGAAGATCGGCATACTGGACAAGACCCACAGTTTGATAATCCTGAGCTTGGGCGACAAAGTTCTGAGGGAGGTGTCGAGGGAGACAACAACTCAAGCATTTTGGGCCAAACTCGAGGTACTCTACCTGCGTAACGATGAGAGCTCTATTGATTCAGCAGGGTGTAGCAGAAGCCTTGTAAGGGTCGGCGGCATTGCCGGCCGACATGACCGAGAAGGAGAAGATCGGCATACTGGACAAGGCCTACAGTTTGATAATCCTGAGCTTGGGCGACAAAGTTCTGAGGGAGGTGTCGAGGGAGACAACGGCTCAAACACTTTGGGCCAAACTCGAGAGCAGATCGACGAGTTCAACAAGATCATCGACGACCTCGAGAACATCGACGTCAAGATGGACGATGAGGACAAGGCACTATTGTTGCTAAACTCTATTCCTAAGAGCTACGAGCATTTCAAGGATGCGATGCTCTATGGAAGGGTGCAGACGATTACTCTAGAGGAGGTTCAATCTCTATTTAGAGCGAAAGAACTTCAGAGGAAGCATGACTAGGACAAGGAGGTCAGCGGAGACAGTCTTATTGTCAGAGGAAGATCAGACAAGAAAGATTCAAGAAATGGTCAGTACAGATCAAGGTCAAGCAAGGATGACGGGAATCATTCATCAAGGGGATCTTTCAAGTGCTATCATTGTCACAAAGACAGCCATTTCAAGAGGAACTGCCCAGACAGGAAGAATAAGTATCAAAAAGAGCCAGAAGAATCAGAAGAAGCAAGCGTAGCCTCTGATGACTACGATTCTGCTGAGGCCCTGGTGATCACAGAATCTGAATCCAGTAAGGAGTGGATCCTCGACTCAGGGTGTTCTTTCCACATGCGTCCTCATAAAGACTGGTTTGAGACACTGCAACAGGAAAATGATGGGTTCGTTCTACTGGGAGACAATAAAGCTCACAGGGTTGTTGGAAGTGGATCATTCAAGATAAGGATGTTTGATGGAGTTGAACGAGTAGTGAAAAATGTCAGGTACGTACCAGAGCTCAAAAGAAATCTGATTTCTTTAGGTACGCTGGAGTCAAGCGGATGCTCGTTCAAGGCAGAGAATGGCTGCATCAGAGTAACTAAAGGCTCTCGTGTCGTCATACAAGGAGTCAGGAAAAAGGGGTTGTACTCTCTTATTGGAAGAACCGTGATTGCTAAGTCCATGTACTGTTTGGACTTAGCAGACTCAAGCAAGGGCTGAGGGAGCCTCAGGGGCCAGGTGGAGGGAATCTTTACTTCGAAGCTTCTCAATTGAGGGTCAAGGTGGAGAATTATTATTTTGACCCCCAATTAATGAACTAAGGTAAAAGAATACTTTTGTAATGTGATACCGTTCACCTACCACATCTCACCTACCGTTCACCTACCGTTCACCTACCTCCCACCTACCACTCTCTTGCTTCTATAAATAGAGAGGGTGTGAGGCTTAGGAGAGCAAGAGGAAGAGATCTTAAGCTACCACAAAAGAGGAGAGAATAACTATAGAGTTAGAGAGGAAGAGAGCATCTTGAGGCCTTGTATCAAGGTGTCGCTTGAGAGGGAGGCCATAGAAGGAAGATGAGGGCTCATCTCTATGTATAAGCTATGTATTCTTCATTTCTTTTACCTTAGTGAAATATTTGATTGATTCCCTCCCGTGGACGTAGATCCAGTTGGATCGGACCACGTAAACGATCTGTGTTTGCTTGTGTTCCTTTTTTCGTCTCATTTCTATGCTAGAAAGTACATATCTCACAACACAAAAGTTTGTCATAAACATGTTTTGCAGATGAAACTTAAATTTTTTTTTTTTTCAAGGACTTGCATGTTATTTAAGATGCATTTTGATTTACCAGGTTCTAAAACAAGTTGATACATTAGTTGAATCTCCGAGCTCTGTCATATTGATAAGCAATGAACTATATTGAAGTGTCAAAATAGTCATTGCATAGGATCGTTTTAGTTTTAGAGTGTATAGAAGTGTCAAATTAGTACTTAGAATCTTTTAAATGGGGTTAAAATAATCCTCCTTATGGACTATTGCAACCCCTATTAAAATACTTTAGACTTTGGAACTAAAATGACTCTTTGCACAGTGTAAGGAATCATTTTGACACATTTCTCCTTAAAAATATTATGAACTCTTTGTTCATCGAACAATCATACATTTTATCTTCATTATCAGATTAAAACATTGCGCTCTGTTTTTCTTAAAGAGTTGGCTTGAATTACTTTTTAATTGCAACAATGGCTATTCCTCTTTCAAGGAATCTGCTTTGATGTTATTGCTGTACATGATAGTACCTTTTTAAGCTTCACATATGGCTGTTGCAAAGTCTCTGATATCAGAAGAGTTTTTTTATTTCCCGTTAAAAAATTTTTATGAAAAAGTTGGTTGCTTATGAATATGAGAAACTTTAGTAGTTCAATAATTCAAATTAATGAATGCTGCTTTACGCTCTACTGTGAAATCTTCAGTTTTAGAGTTCCCTATTAGCTTTAAACTTCTGTTATATTGTGGCATGTCAGATCATGCCAGATACACTGATAATATTGTTGCTTGTTTAAAAAAAAATGTCAAAATGATCCCCTAATTATTCGTAGGAGATTATTTTAATTCCAAAGTTTATAAAAGTATAAAATGTAGTCCTCAAACTCTTTTAAGAGATCTCAGTCCAAATTTAGAAAGTCTGGGGATTAATTTGTAACTCTTATAAATTTTGGGACTAAAATGATTCCATGTAAATAGTCAAAGAGATTTTTTTGACACTTCACTGGTTGCTTTTATATTTTCTTTCAAAGTTTGTTGTATGTTTACTTGCTGATCAATTCTGGCATGGTATATTCCAAGCCTGTGCATCTTTTGAAGGGGGAATGTTAAAAATGCCTGATAACATTATTCTATTTAAGAAATATAGTTTAGAAAACTATAGTTTTGTATGCAAATATCATTTATAATCTTTTTAAGTGTATTTTTGGTCTTCTAATTATAGTCTTCATGAAATGATAATCAGCTTCAAATCTCCTCAACGTTCTTCTCCTTCCCTCACCATGCTGAAAAGTTTAATTGAGCCAAATAGTAATTTTTTTCTGGCTTGTTCAGGAGGATGAACAATGTAACGTTGAAGAAAAGTTAATGAAAGTTCTAAATTTGCGTTTTTGTCCAAAGTATCAGAATGGCTTGATACAAATGCAATGCTCTACTCTAAAATCTCAATTTTTTCTTTGCAAATTTTATGTTATGTTATGTTATTTATTTATCTCTTATTTTGCATGAAGGTATATGATGGGATTCTGCCCAAATGGACCTGGGTGCAGATTTAAACATTCAAAGCTGCCTGGGCCTCCTCCCCCTGTAGAAGAAGTTTTGAAGAAACTTCAGCACCTGAGCTCATTCAGCAGCTATGGCTCTTCTAACCGACAATTCCAGCCAAGAAGTTTTGAGACATGGAAGAAAGAACAAATTAATTAATTTTCTGGGGTTTTAAATAACAATTTTACAAGAATAAAACATTAACTGAAACAAAATTTACCCAAAAAAAAAAAATTTGCAGAACCTGCAGCAGAAAATCCTGCTTTTATTCATCTTTAACAAAGAACTGGGTGTAGATATTTTCTGTGAAATAGCTTTGAGGCTCTGCAGAGAGTGAAACTTTAGCTTCTGTGCCCAAAATATAAGAAGCTGGTGTCAGCTAATTTTGGTAGTAAAAAAATTTGGGGCATTTACACTCATACCACCCATTTTCTATCTATTTACATATCTAACATCTAAAATTTGTTTCTTATACTTAATACCACCCAAAGTTTTCAAATCGCTATTTTATTTCTAAAATACACAGAAGATGAAGTTTAGGTGTTTGATATGTAAATACATGGGTGTCAAGTGGTATATATGTAAATTTTCCTAAAAAAAATTTGAAACTTGTTAAAAAATAGCAATTTGAATTTGATTTATCTAAGAAATGTATCTAATAAATTATTCTTTATGTTGTATTTTGATTTTTTTATGGGATAAATCAAATATTGGGGAATGTATATACATAGCATCTAATTCTCATATATTTATTTATCTCATAACTAAACTTTAATTTTTACAATCTAAGCACTTTTATCTGCATGAAAAAGTGGATTAGTCATTTGATAATAATGCAGGAAATATTTCTCATTTTATATGAAGATTCAACACTTGCATAACTAATTGAAAAAGAAAATGTAAAATAGACCAAAGGCTTTATATGAGAAGTCTAGAAGGAGAAAAAATCATATGCTCCGACTAAAATCAAATAATTTAGTATATAAGTAGAAGAGAAAAGAGGTCCATTCTTCATTTTATTGGTTAAAGGTTTCATTTTGGCATGTTATATTTGTGGTAGAGGCGGTCTCTCATGAGTATCTAGTTGAGAGGCAATGTAAACTGAGTGTAGTTGCATAATGCTTGGCTATGGAGCGATTTTTGACATAGGTGATGTTTGTGGTGTTGCATGGTTGTTAAAACTCACTTTCAAAAATAAAATATTAAGTGATTGGTAGATAATGAATTAACTTCCTAAAATAACTCTCACTCATTAATTATAATTTATCATGCAGTCGAGGCAGAGTGTCAAGCTCTTACCTAATCCTAAGCCTTCTTCGTCTACTTTCACCATTAGGGGCCCATTCATCTCCACTCCATTAAGATATGGTCCAAACCAAATAGTGTTTCTTTGCCTTCATAAAACTCTTTTTGTCTGTTTTCTCTTGCATATTTTTTAGTTTTAAATTTTCTACCTTCTTATCATTGGTGCTTTCCTTTTTGTAGGACTGTAAACAAGCCAAGCTCAGGCTGGGCTCATTCAAAATTTGCTCGTATTCGAAATGCGTCATGAACAGTGTGTTTATGTTCGGCTAGAAAAATTTATCCATGTTCTTGTTTGGCTTGAAATTGACTCGTTATAATATAATATTATTATAATAATCAATTTTTTTTAAAAAAAGTTAAAATAATAATTTAAAAAAATTTTGTATAATAATTAATTAATTAAAATTTATAATTTTAAATTTTATGAATATTCACGCATTATAAATATTGGCCGCGTACTCAGATCAGTTGGTCGGGGAGTCATCTGCTTGTCAGTTATAAGTCTCCTATGATCTGGAGTTCGATTCCTCCCGAGTGAAGGATGATATTCGAATTCTTAGAAGCATGAGAGGTGACCAGAGCTCGTAAGATAGCCTCATATATATATATATATATATATATTCGAGCTAATTTGAGCGGAACAAGAGTGAACAAACTTTTGTTTGTGTTCGGCTAGTTTATATTTCGAGCTTAAAAATTTGTTTGTGTTCTGCTCATTAGACTTATCAAACAAGTCAAACACAAGCTGCTTAACGAGATGAACAGCTCCGAACACGAGCTGTTTGCAAACAACTAGCCAAATTAAAAGCCCTACGGTTATGATATATCAAGTGCAGGGTCCGTAAATTAGTTGATAGCAAACATTCTTTTGAGCTACGGACTCATGTTCAAAGCACACTTACATTTCTAATTACCACTTTGTTACCAGTAAAATTCAACTTTCCCACATATAAACATATATTATTACAATAAAAAAAAAAAACTCAATTTAACGTAAAACATGAAGACATTTTTGACCCAACACAACAAAAACATCACTTAAAGAGTATACCAAACCTAAATCAGAACACACCACAATCAAACTTTCTCACTGTACAATTTTTTTTTTTCATTTCTATAAATTGAAATAAAAATATATATAAAGAACTACTTAATGCATTTGATAAATAATTATACTTACCAACCCACAAATACAGTCACCCATCATTCCCCCGTCGGGTGAATCTCCGTAGCCTCAACACCTTTCCCCTCTTCCAACTTCGCCACCTCCTTGCTCCTCTCCGACGCCTTCGCAGTGTCATACGAAGCGTGCAGCCCCATAAACAGATAATAGATCAACAGAAGCACAGTCCAGACCCCAAACCTCGCGAACGAAAGTCCATCAATGGATCCCAACAGAAATATGTTTATGGCAATGGACGCCGACGGCAGCCACGGCACCAGCGGCACTCCCCACAACTTCGGCTTCCTCGCCTCCGGCACCGTCACCTGCAAGGCCAGAGTGGATAAAAACCACACCGGCATTGTGACAAAGTAACCAACCCAACCTTTAGCGCTCAACGCCCAGTAGAGAGCCGTGGCGACCGATGAGGAGAGTATGAGGAAGAGGCAGGCGATGAGCTTGTTGCGGTTGGCGGGGGTGGTCTCGCCGGAGACGTAGTAGCGGCGGACGAGAAGGGCGACGGCGACGAGCATGAAGATGAAGAGGGTGGAGATGGAGAGGAGGTTGGAGAGGATGTTGAGGTTGGTGAAGAAGGCGATGACTGCGGTGGCAACGAGCATGACGACGGTGGCGTTGATGGGCGTTCCGGTGCGTGGGTGGACGTTGGCGAGCCATGGAGGCACCATGTGGGTGCGAGCGATGTGCGTTAGGTATCTAGCTTGACTTCACCGCATTAAAGAAAATAAATCAATAAATTTTCATCTAAACTTCAGATTTATATTTCAAGAATTCAAAAATTATTTAATTTTTAAATATAACGGATTGATCTAGTCTAGAGGCATAAAAAAGAGTTGAGTTGAGCTACGGCAGCCATGCCCTTATCAAGCTCAGCTTATTTGCCAAATTGTGAGCTAGAGCTCTGATTAAAGCTCAAATTGGGAGCTTGAGCTCAACTCGTAATGGTAGCAGCTGGCTTGTGAGCCACTCCTCAAGGTTGAACTAAAAATTCAATTTTTACATGAGCTCCTTGAGAAGTATTGGTGATTGGAGAAAGAGGAGGCTGCAGTGGGTGCCACCGAAAAATACATCAAAATAACTAAAAATAGGCTAATCAAGTTGGCTCGCCAAGCCAGTGAACCGCCGGGCATTGACATGCTCGAATTGGAGCTTGTTAAATAAATGAGCTCAAGTTTGAGCTCGTGCTCATGGCTCGATAAGTTCGACTAGTGAGCTTGTTAAAGAGCCAAGCTCTAGCCGGCTTAGCTCATGTAAGGCACAAGATTGATCAATCCTGTTTTAAAAGAAAATAAAATTTTGGATTTTTGATGCTTATATTTTAAATTTAAGTAGCCAAAATGTTATATTTAAAATTTTTAATAATTGTTATATAAAAGTTCTAAATTTTGGTTATTAATTCAATACATGATTATAGCACAATCATGCAGCGTTGCTTACCCCACGGCGGAGACGAGGAGGACGGTGGTCATGCCCTTGAGCGCACCGAAGGCTACAATATACTTAGCCCAGTCCATGCCCACGGTGGAGAACGCCACCGAGAAGGGGGCATCAGTATCAATTTCGGTGTAGGGCTGCATCAAACAAAGCACCAGAGCAAGCAGGCAGTAACACGCTGTGGTGATCGACATAGCGCCGACGAGTCCGATGGGTATATCCTTGGCAGGATTCTTAGTTTCTTCTGCCATGGTGGAGACTGCATCGAAGCCGACGTAAGCGAAGAAGAGGACGGCGGAGGCGGAGAAGATGCCGCGGGTGCCGAGCGGAGTGAAAGGGGTGAGGTTGTGGATGTTGGCCTTGGTGAGGCCGGCGATGATGATGAAGAGGATGATGGCGAGGTGGACGATGGAGGCGATGTAGTTGAAGCGGGAGGTTCCTTTAGTGGAGATGATGGCGAAGATGCAGATGATGGCGATTACGAGACATGCGATGGGGTCGAGGCGGGAGTAGTCGGCGGAGAGGGATGTGGCGTGGATGCGGAAGTCGTTGGGGTGGTGGTTGAGCAATGTGGCAAAGTAAGAGGTCCATGAACGGGCTAGGGCTACGGCGGCGCCGCCGATGACATATTCGAGGAGGATGTTGCCGGCGGCGATGAAAGCCATGAAGTCGCCCAGCTCCACCCGTAGGTAAGCGAATGATCCCCCTGCGTCGGAGTTTCAGCATCAGTTTCCATACAATTTGAAGGAAAAAAAGAATTTTTTTTAGCACAGAGTAGAGGGAAGGTTGTAAAATAAGAGACAGCAAATGTGTGACGCTTCTCGAGATGATATATAGTCTCTTCAGGTTTGTTTCAGATTTTGGATTGAATAGAGGTTGACTGCATAAATCATGTTCGATATAACTGGATCAATTTTTCTTCTGATTCCGGTATGAATTTAAGATTATGTAGATAATATATTTTTTGCGGATCTTTGCAGGTTTTTCTCAAAATTCTATCAATAATTTGCTGGAAAAATTACACAAACTTTTGTGCCTGTATTATAGATATCAATCATATCAAAATAACTTAAAATTCACCGTCTTGATAACTTTATTTAATAAGAATTGATTGCTAATGCTATAAGGTGATAGCATGACACCAAGGTAAAAAAAATGAAGAAAATAGAGCTAATAAAAATTTTAGGAGATTTTTACATAGTACCTGAAAAAAAAAACCTTTATATAAGTCGCACCTACTTCACTATTTATGAGAAAACACCCATTGTTACGACGTTCGAGTATATTTTCAGAAGGAAACCGGATCACGTCGTATAAAAACGTTGAAACTCCCATCTTCACAACGTACAAAGGCCTCTAAAGACAACAATAGAATGACGACATAATGTTAGAAGTTGACTTCATAAAATTAGCATCCGCCGTTAATGTCATGGTCAACATCAATTAAGATCGAAGGTAGAGAGAGATGGGAGTTTTAGAGAATTCTGTACACCACAATTTTGTGGTTGTCTTAAGCGTAAATTTTTGTAAGTTGTGGTCACCACTACAAGAAAAGGACAGAAATTCCTTGATTTTCGGGTGGGATGAGAATGAAGGCGCAAGATGGGAGTCTTGGAGATCTTACATCATGATTCGGTTGTTGCCAACGATCTCGTCGCCGCCAGAGAAGAAAGATAGGATTTCCTTCGTTTTCAGGTGAGATCGAGGAGTGGAAGGAGGAGCAAGATAGGAGTTTAAGGGATCTTTGTACGTGGTGATTTTATAGTTGCCTTCAAAGCCCTTTATATGTTGCAAATATGGGAGTTTCAGATTTCTTTATATGACACGATCATGTCCTTTTCTTTCGTCAATATACTCCAACGCCCGAAAAATGGGTGCTTTCTCCATAAATAGTGAAGTTTATGTGCGACAAATACAAAATTTCTTGTTTCGAGTATAAATTAAAAATCTCTTGAATTTTTTATTACCTCCTTGTTTTAATTTTTTTTTCTCAGTGCAATCCTATCGCCTTGTAGCATCATAAGTAATCACTTCTCATTAAACAAATGTACCAAGATGGTTATTAAACAATGTACCAAGATGGTGACTTTGAATCTGTAATATTGATATGAGTTATACTATAATACATGCACAAATACTTGTGTAAATTTTCTAGCAAATTATTTATAAAATTTCGAACGAACAACACCATCGAAGCCCTCCAAAAAAAAAAATTTGAATGTACATAATCTAAAACTAGGCATGGCTTTCTAGTTAGTTCAGCTTCAACTTTTAAATCCAAATTTGGAGTTATTTTCAAATTTTAATCAAATACACAGCCTTATTTCTAACTGAAGGTTTGCCGTTTTACTCTTATGAATTCTTTTTATCAAGGTCGTTTATGAGAATCATCTTAAATTCATACTGGAATCAGAAGACATTTGATCCAATTACCTCGAACATGATTCATGCAGTCAACTTCTAATCGATCCCAAATCTGAAAGAAAAAAATCTGAAGAAATAACCCTTAGTTAACTAGGTCGTAATATTCGATCACTTAACCTTGAATGAAAAGCCAAAGCGCCAAAAGGTTACCCGAAAAGTACCATCTGTACTCATTATTATAGATAGGAATTTTACAAAACACAACACACAAATTTTCGTGCCCAACACCTAACATAGTAAGTACAAATTCCTATTCAAATGAGAGAAAATAAAAGAAGTATCAAAATACATACAATAGATTTTACATATCTAAGAAAATCATAAAAACTCATTGATCCGGGAATAAAAGACTATAACTTCCCATACAACAAGTTGAGGAAGAGGTATTGAGTAGACAGCGAATAATTTTTGCAAAACAAAAAAAAATTGAAAATGATCGAGGCAAAAATATTCAAAAAATTTACTGTCCCTATGTGAAACTACAATTAAAATTAAAAATATATATAATTAAATGATTAGTGAATAAATTTGTTCAGAACCAGTTTTTTTCACTATCAAATATATTTACCTTAATTAGTTAAGTGCAGCCCATCTATCAAATATGAGCTAATTCAAAAAGAATTAGGTAGTGATACCCTTATCAAAATTTCATCAAAATCGATGCATGTTAAAAAATCGCCTCAATAAAATAACAGACAAACGTCTGAGCGTGATAAAAAAAATTCAACACATACTTAGAAAAGAGAAATGAACTAAGAATGGCACTAGAAGTTTTTGTGTTGAAAACCCCAAAAGAGAAAAATCATGAGGTCTAACTTAGCTGAAAAATTTTACTATAAAAAAATAATTACAGTTGCAACCATCTGTCCCATAGAAAGAAAAAAAATACTAAGTTTTCCAAGTTACAACTTAGACATGTTGATCAAATTTGTTGCTAGGAACGGACAGCGACCGATAGCGTTTTGTTGCGGTTGGTCAATGGTGGTCGATGATGGTTGGCGATTATTGACGACGATTGACGGAGGGCAGTGGTGGTCGACGACGGTCAAAGATGGTCGACAGTAGTCGGTGATTGACAGAGATTAGTGATGGTCAACAGTAGTCGGTGATGGTGGTGTTGGTCTTCAACTCCTTTTCAAATATTCAAACTCTTATTCAAGTTTTATGAGTGTAATTAATGCAGGAATATGAATGACTAATGATCAAATGAAGCTTCCCTTATGAGACAAGTGGAGCTCTATTTATAGTGTTGAAAATGTAATTAATGCAGTAATATGAATCAATTTGATCAGACAGATTGAGAAACTTCCTTCAATTAGATGATGTTTGATGGACATTTGAGTCCTTAATGATGTCAGAGTTGAGCAATGTTGGGCTCGCTGGATTCGTCTTGTCGAGATACTTGATTCGACTTTTGTTTGACATTCTAAATATGTTCAGAAAACTTTCAAAAGTTGTTTAATATTTTGATTGAGCTTTGATTTAACTCGAATTGAAAAAAAATTTGGTATCATTCACTCTGTCTCATCGAGTCACTCAATTTGACCATAAATTTATTGAAATCGGAGCTTTTGAAGACTCTTTATAAGAGTTTAAATAGTTCTTGCTTAAAAAACTACATCTAGATCTGTGCCATGCATCCAGTTTTGTGTGGGATATCGAAAATTTGTTGAAGATTAATAAATAATGAAATCTAAACTCTTTAGGTTTGGTTTGAGATACTGCAGCATATAAATTATCCATAAAAAAAATATTAGACTCATCTTGGATTAATTTAAAGTTCCTTCATATTATACTGAAGATTTTGGTCAAATATTGAGCATATATTTTTAATAGCAAGTCGAGTGGACTACGGCCAATCAAACAAATAAAACTTTACGTGAAATGTAAAGGAAATTTAAATATTAAGTGTGAAATCATACTGAGAAAAGTAAGCGCTAAAAAAATAGCAATATTTCAGATGATCTGTTCTGTAATTATCCGACATTAATAAAAAGTCATGAATACCTGCTACGGGAATCTCGACGGCAAATTCAGTGTAGCAGAAGACGGAGAGCATGGCGGAAACGCCTGACACAATAAATGAGAGGACCACCGCTGGTCCAGCGGCTTCCTTAGCCTCTTGTCCTGTGAGAACGAAGATCCCTGCTCCGATAACAGCTCCGATTCCGAACCAGATGAGATCCCACCACGAAAGGTTTTTCTTCATCTCGTGTCCGCTTCGTGCCCTCACCTCCGTAAGCTCCGTCGTTTCCAACGATCTCGTCACAAGCCGATCTCGGAGGCGCATCCCGGTCTCTCTCAGCGCACGCCCGTAATTCCCCCAGCTCTGGAAGGACTCCTCTGGCAGAAAATCGTCTTTCGTGCACGAACAGCCCCGCCGCTTCGATCCTGATCCGCCGCCATCTCCTTCGGCTCCCATATTTTCTCAATCTCAACTGCGTTTGCATGAATAAAAATGGAGATCGGTTAGATTTCAGTTGAAACGAATGGAGCGATTTATTAATTGGGAAAAAAACAGGGCATTATCGAAGACGACTGGATTATCGAACAAGGAGACATAGGGTTTCTGGTCATCGCAATTACTTTTGCAATTTAGGAATAAAAACAGAGAAACTAATACGGAGTGAAAACATCTAATCTCCACAAAACCACAGAAATTTTTAGAAGATATACAGGAGGAAGAGAGGATTTCTTTAGCCACAATGAATCGAAATTTGAGGACACGGAAGCGAGGGTTTGTGTTTATGAATGGCCGCAATTAGCTGATGTTTAATGACAAAAAACTATGTAAATCACGTCATAAAGTTCTTTAAAAATAAGTAAATCCTGATGATCTGTTCGGCGTTACTCGCTATAACAATCTAAAAACGAATAATAATCAATCCATTACGCTAGAATCCAAGGAATTCCTGAAACGAAACGGAATCTTACATGAATTAGATTGGAAAGCGTAGTTAACAGAAAGCTAATACGTAACGATCAACGAATTATTAAAAAAATTAATCGAGGAATAGATCAGACGGAACGCTGAAAAAAATAGAAAAAAAAATTGGTTTGAGGAGGACCGTAGAATCGAATTAGGCCGATGGCTGACCTACCTCCGTACAATATACGGCGCCGGGATTCCGAATATCGCCGGAGAAGAAAGTCGAAAGGAGGTAGAGCTTTGTGTCTCAGAGAAGAGAAAAAGAAAGGAGAGATATTTATGAAGGCGCGCGTCTTGGGCCTAGAACTGCGCCCGCCCTAGCGGGTAGATTTGACTGCCAGGTGGCGTTGAGGCTTACAGAACACATCTTCCGGTTCCCGCGCAATGTCATTGTGTGATTATCATTTTGAACCGTCCGATTGGCTGGTTCCTCGTTTCGACGGCTGCCGAGAGGCGACTAATGTGAACAGAAAGTTGGCCCTGCGACTTTTGTTTTATGCGGGAGAAGAATCCGCATGGAATTAAAGATTCCAGTAGGATCCAACGGCTGTGAATAGATTCCGAATCTCTTGGCCGCCGTTCCAAATTCCATTTTTCAGATTTAGATCCTAATATATTTAGAAATTTGTTACGGTGCTCGATTGACAGCCGCAATTGAAGATTCCCGTTGGAATCTCGCTAGGTTTTCTCATAAATAGCTGACCACTAAGTTACTAAAAAAATAAAAATTATATCTCTTAATTTAGCAAAATATATTTCTAATTATATTTAATTAGTTATTTATTTTTTTCATTTTCAGGCTAATCAAGCTGTCAAATCTTATAAAGAATTATGTGATTATAAATATATGATCTCTTTCCTAAATTAGAAAAGATATAATACAAGGTGAATAATCACATATGTACAATAGTACATCAACAATAATATATATAATTGGGCAACAAAATATATAGTTTTCAATCATAATAATAATAGTTGACCACATTAATAGTAGGTGATTGTTACAATAGCAGTAATTAGTTATAAAGAGCGTAGTTGGAAGACTCAATAGCACCGTTTAAAAAACTGGACTGAACCGGCCCTACAACCGGTCGCCGGCCAGTGGTCTGGTTCTAGACGGGCTAAAAACCGCCCCTAACTAAAACCGGCCTGAACCGACGATGTGAGCTTAAAACCGGCCAACTAGTCATGATTCAAATGAATCTTTCATGTTTATTTATTTGGAAAATTCATGTTACAAAGTTAGTGTTATGATGGAATTGTAATTTTATGGCTATGAAAATCCACAGCCAAGTTTTATATTTTATAGAGATATATAGGATCTCTAAAGACAAAAATGTAGATGTGGGATAAAAAAGTATCACAATAAATTATTAAATTATATGCATGGGAATAATATGCAAGATTTTTAGGAATATTTACATGCATACCGCCAAATTTTTTTTTAATTACATATCTAACTACTAAATATGTATTTTTTATAGACCACTCAAATAATTTTTTAAAATAAAAAATAGAATTTGTTTAAGACATATAAAAAAATATTATACAAAGATATGAATAAATATTATAATTTTATTATTTAATTATTTTGAGTCAAAATAGCCCACAACGAACGAACAAATAATTATTTATGTTGGTTTGTTTACAAATCTAGCTAAAAAATATTTGTATTATTAATTTACAATACCATTATGCATTATTTAAAATATATTTAATTAAATTTTATATTTATTACGTCGTCAGTTCAACCTCAGTTGAACCAATGAATTTTGAGTCTTTCTTTCTTCCAATTTGATGCTCGGTCTCACTACCTTGCTAACTGTACTTGTTAGCCAGAAAAGTCATAGCAGGTGTCTACAATAGCTTTAGTTGGCCACAAAGGCAGAAGTTAAGGCTGTCAACAAAATTTGTTGTTCATAAACAGCTCATGTTTGAATAACATAAATAATTTTCTAAGTTTGAATTAAAAACTAGCCAAATATGAACAACCGTTTTTTCGATCATGTTCGATTCTTTTAAGCTAGAAATAAAGAAATTACATATAATATTTATATAATAATATATTATATATATCTAAATTTAAATTATAACAACTTGTGTGGTCATGTGGTTTTACATCTTCTATTGCTCAGATATTGGTGCAGGTTCAAATTCAAAACCCTACTTTTATTTTTTTAATTAATTTAAATGAGTCAATTTTGAACCGAACATAAACACAATGTTCACGAGCAATTTCAAACACTACCCAATTTCGTGCGAGCCAATTTTGAATGTGCTAAACACGAGCCAAGCCTGAGCAAGCTCAAGCTCGACTCGTTTATAGTATTAGTTGTAGTTAGAGCCGTAATAGCAGTTGAGGACATAAGTTGTAATTGGTGACATAAGTCATAGTTAGTGAATGCAATAGTGTTACTTGGTCAGGATGATTGTTGTTGGAAGCTATAAAAGCAGTTAGCAAGATAAACATAATTGGTCACATATGCCGTGGTTGACAGTTCCACTAACAGTTATCCATATAGACCAAAGTTGGATACATACTCTATGGTTGATAGTTGTTGTAGCATCAATTGGCAATAGAGGTTGTAATTGAGAGCTACAATAACAGATAACTACATAGTCATATTTGGTTACATAAGTTGGGATTGTTAGTTGTCGTATTAATTAGCCACATAAGTTTTAGTTCGTAACAAATGTCATGGTTAATACCTGCAATAACATCAGTTGACCGCATAGGTCGCACTCGAAAGGTTTAGTAAAAGTTGGTTTTGTAGCCCTTAATTGGGCACATAGAACGTGGTCGATAGTTATAGTAGCCGTTAGCCACATAGATTGTAGATAGTCACAAAGACCATCGTTGGTAGTTATAGTAGAAATTAGGCACACAAGTCATAGATGATCATAGAGATCGTAGTTCGAAATTATTTTATCATTTAGCTATCTAGGCCGTAGTTGGATGCATAAGTTGTGCTTAGTAACTGCAGTAATCACTATTCATTTAGGTCATACTTTGTCAAATAGATCGTAGTTAGAAGCTATAGTAGCAATTAACTATAGAAGTCATAGTGGGTCATAAAGTCATGGCTGGTCGCTATAGTAGCAGTCAGCCACATAAGTCGTAGTTGGTCATATATATCTAGTTGGAAACTGCAATAGCAGTTAACTGATATGTCGTAATTAGTCACATAGGCGTGATCGATAATGATATTCATTCTCTCATGGTTGTTATTTTACGTCAAAAATAACACTTATTAGTATACGACACAGAGAAAATTTCGAAGGTTGAGAGAAAGCTTTTGTAGCCTGAATACGTCGGTCGTAAGCAATTTTCATCGGATCTTCAATATTACATTTTTCATTACACCGTAATCAAGATACTTAATTATATTGTATTCGTCATACTTTCTTACACTATATTCGAGATACTTCATTACACTATATTTAGGATGCTTCATAGGGAAAAGATTTCACCAATGATTGTGAGTAGTGATAGCCAACCGTGGTCGTTGACGGTTGGCGAGCGGTGGTCGACTGTGGTTGGTGGCTATTAAGGCTGATAGTTGTCATCTAACTTTTATCCATAATAACACTGAATTTTACTCATCTCTCTTCCAAGTGAAGAAAGGGGTATATTTTTAGCTCTTAGAGGATAAGTATTTTGGTCATTTGGCATATAATTCCCATAACCGCCTAGTCGAACGATCCACATTGATTTTCTTTGATCATAGAGGGTTCTCTTAGGATTGAAGGGCCTTAATAAATTGGGATCTAAGTGATATTGAGCTCGTTGGATTCATTTCGACGAGACGCTCGGTTTGACTAATGTTTGTCAAAACTGGAATTCACTAACCATCCAACTAACTATCCAAAGCCTTCAAAGGTGGTTTAATGGTTCGATATAGCCTTAATCAAGCACACATTGGACCAATATTGGTATCATTAACTTCCTTTAGTAGAGACGGTCTACATGAATTTTAATTTGAATCGAAATATTTCCTGCTAAAATAATATCGAGATTCATGTGAAATGAAATTTTTTTTTTTAAAGACATCAAATATCATTTTAGATATGCTGCCAATATAATTTTTTTTTTAATTAAAGCACATGTTTATTCATATGTTTTGATGTGATTTTGACATTAAAATTTTATAATGTGAATATAATGTTTAATTGTTATATAGAAAATTAATAAAGGACTGGATAATATACATGTAAGTCTTCTAAGAATTTATCATTAACTACCTTTTATGAGGTCTCTCATTTAATCGGTCAAATCTAAAAACACTCTTGTTCAAGCATTTTTGGCAAATGCACTATAGTAGCTTGTATATATATATATTATATATATATATATTCATGTTTGCATAGATGCTTGTATATGACGTTTATATGACATGACATGAATAATCTATCTAATTAAGTATGAATTTTGACCCAAGCATTTGAATAAGAAACTTTTATGGTCAATTTTACTACCAATTGTACTATTTTCAATGAACTTAAAGTAAAAAAAAATAAACATATTGATGATACACTACATAATATTAAAAATGTCATAATCCAAGTGCAATTAGATTATGTCAAACACTCAAGAGAATTGTTGTAAGCTTCATGGGATCATTTAAAACATGAAACATTATTTTAATCCAATATGCTTATACTCAAATATGCATCTAGATTAGATAAATTTGAGGAGTCTAAAATCATTCAATTTAAATACCATAACATTCTTGAGATGAATAAAAGGATATTCTTTGATCTATAGAATCAATCTTGATCATGTTCAATAGTGTACTTGGAAAAAGCAAGTTAAAAATTAGATGTACCTTGATGCAACTTTAATTAAAGGATATCCATAACACAATTTAAGTAATTTATTTCCTTTTTCCTTTATTGATGTGTCAATTGAACAGGATGTACATCAAGATTAGGGTCGACCATGTTTATATTCTTAACAGAACATTCATGTAATCATTCTAGGTATGATATGTTAACAACCAATATATGCTTATTTTTCAAGAATTTTTTTCCAAAAAAACTTGTCAGAATAGACTATAGTTTACAGTTTGGAGAGCTTGGTTTAATTATAAAAAGCAAAAAATAATTTTTGGAAGGCATGTCTGTAACATGAGCCTCAAAAGATGCTCGGTTCCTTTGTATAAGAAAATGCATGTGCTAACTTTGATTGTAAACTTCCGCGTGATTGAGAAGCCACAAAACCTCAGAAGGCATAAGCCTCAGAAGATGTCAACATTGACAATACCCGAGAAGT